AGCTCGCGGCTCGCGACGGTTCCCCCCGCTCGGCGAATTTTCCAGCGGTCTCTATTCGCTCCTGTTTCTGCCTCCGCCGTCGGCCGCCCGTCAAAAAGTGTCACCGAAGTGCCGGCGAAGGAGGTCGATTGAGCGACTCGAGAAGGGAGGACGAGTGTATTTATAAATGTCCGCCCGCAGAGACGAGGAACTCGCGCTCGTTGCGGCGTTCGACGGCGCGGAAGCGACGGTTTTCTTCGCCACGGCCGAGTGCTTTCCCGAGCCGAGCGACGTGACGTCGGGAATTTACGGCGACGCCTCGATGATTGCGTTACATTGCGCGGCATCGCGCGATGCATTGTTTACGGCGACGGGCCGTGTAAGTGGAGGAGGCCGACGCATAAATTTCATCGGGCTGCGACTCCGGCGGATCAATCATGATTGCGCGCGCGCGTGTGTATGTGTGTGTGTGTGTGTGTGTGTAGGCGTGCGAATGGTCGGGCAAACGCGTAAATCTCGACGGGGCTGCGAAACAGTTTGCGCGTCTATGCGTGCCCGCGCTGACGCATTCTTACTCGCGAGTGCCAACGTTTTCGATGTAAGTACTATTGATCGGACTCCGCTGGACTCGTCAATTATTAGCGTTTCCCATACGTGGGGTACGAATTTGGGTTAAATAATATACACCGAGCCGCTGCTGAAAAATTTCCACCCCCCTCCCCTCCTCCGTAAAAGGGTCGCGCGCTCGCGCTCGGGACACGCTCGACATCTGCGGCAGCGCGAGTAATTTGTATCGAAAAGGGGGGAGGGGGTACATCCATATCTGTTTTAATCAATCAGTTGATCGCTTACTTGGGATTACAATTTGCTATGAGCAGCGCGAGAGCGGGCTGCTTGCATCGAAGCCGACGTTTGTACGTTGCAACACGACCAATCAATAATTGACTCGGGTGTCTCTTCAGTCCGACGGTTTCAGCGAAATTTTCCAACTCTACGCGAAATTCTGTTCAATGTTACAAGTAGTTTCCTGATCAGAGTGTCCTTGAACCACCCTGCGCGAAATAAATGCGCTCGACCTCGATTGACCGGCGGAGTTTTCAATTATTGTAATCACGAGGAGCGAGGCTTTTTGTTAAACAATACACCGCTCGTTAATGGTGAAAGTTAGCCGTTTTAGCGCGGCGGCTAATCCGGAATTTACGCTAATCTTTTCGACACGATTTTCGTAAAAAAAAAAAAAAAAAAAAAAAAAAAGAAGAAAAAAAAGAACTTTCTAGAATCGGGAACATGTCAAATTTCAGCGAAACTTCGTGCACGAGAAATTCTCTCGAGGTGCGAGAGGACGAAAAAAGTGTGCGTAATCGCGGTTTACACTCCTCAAGTTGTCTCGTGTTAACTCGTGTCTCGAAATGCTCTCATCTGTCTTATCACGAGATAATACGGACACAAGTGAGGAAAGTCCCGGAACATCCGACGCTTGCGAAAAAAATCTCGGCGATTCTCCGGCGCGGAATCCGCACGGAACGACGTCATCATTCGCTCGCGGCGAACGGAATCGGACGGAGCGCGCACCCTTCTCGCGGTAGAACGCGATGTAAACAAACGTGCTTTTAATTGCTCCGTCTCCGGCGTGCACCGAGCGTTCCGAGCGCTTTTTTTGCGGTTGTCCATTTTTATTCAAATCGCGTACCTACAGAACGGAAAAACGTACCTCTCGATGAGGCGAACCGCCTCGATAGCGTACATCGCGGATAAATTCACTTCAGATGAGTAACGTTATTTTTAGCTTGCAGCGCGGAGTGAAATTCAAAACTCGCGTGTGTGTGGCGCGCGCGCGCGCGCGCGTGTGTGTGTGTGTGTGTGTGTTACGTAACTCGATTTTATTCTTCGCGTTTATTGTTCCGCGTTATTGTTCCGCATCGCAACGAAAAATATAACTCGTCTCTTTTGCGGCAAATAGCAGTTGCTTTCTTGCTCTTGTCCCTTCGACATCCCGACCACTCCAACAATGCTGGAAGACTGAAAGTCCCGATTACTCCTCCAAGAGGATTCTTCCCGCGAAAGACACACCCCCGTCTCGCGAATTGCGCGCAGTGGCACTGCACGTACCTCGCGACAAAGGTAATCGTTGTTGTCATTGTTATTGCCGTGATCCAACGTGTTTTTCAATCCGCCGACGTCATTTTCCAAGTTCGACGAGTTCGACTCTTCCCGGTCCCGCGAATTCCCGGCCGCGTCCCTCGACTCTGCAAGTTAATCGGCAAGCCCGAACGGAGCCCGGGGAACTCCCGTCGAGCTCGCCGCTCGACGGCGATAAGGTCTCGGCTGTGACCCGCGCGGAAGATCGCCGCGTGCAAAAACGAACTTCATTTAAATCGAGATCGAGGAGAACCTTTGCGCCGCGCGGATGTCGGCCGACGACGAACTTTGACCTTTGATCACCGCCGCCGCTGCCGTGCATTCGAAGCAACGCTTCACGTTTCGCTGATCAAAGGACACCCCGCCCTACCTCGCCCGGTGCATTTGCATGCACACGTACATACGTTATTACGCGTGTATGCGGCGCGCTCACCCCCGGCGTGCAGTTTAGCCGCCGACGACCGCCGTTTTCGCGATGCCTCTCTCGCGGACGGTGAACGCCGAAGAGAAGTCACGTCGAAGAGAGCCGGTTTCCATGACTGTTTGACCCCCATTGGGTGCGGAACGGCGCAACATCGAACGTGCTCTCTCTCTCTCTCTCTCTCTCTCTCTCTCTCTCTCTCTCTCTCTCTCTCTCTCTCTCTCTCTCTCTGTCTCTCTCTCTCTCTCTCTCTCTCTCTCTCTCACTCTCTCTGCTTGTTTCAACGCGTTAAACGGGATATCATTTGTTTAAGCGGCAAGTGTGTCGCTTTGGTAACGCGAAATAACAAACATAATAATAATATGCGGAATGAGAAGTAAGAGGGTGAAAAATGGAACGAAGACAATTCCTTAAGAGACAAACGACGACCGCAGCAAATAGTAGGAGAATCTAAGAGGGCTGCTCAAGTTTGTTTGATAATAGCGGTCTTCAAGTTATCCAAAGACGTGCGAAAGGGTGGTCTGTGATGTGACACGACAAGTGTTCGCCAACGCGAGTTACCGGCTGACTGCGTAAAAATAACGTAAGGTAGATGTAATGAAAAAAGAAAAATTATTGTTCTCGGCAAACGAAACGCTGAGCAATGGCTGAAGTGAGCTAAGCAGCAGCCTGACAGAGGCTGATTGTAATCCGATGGTTTAATCCTTCGTACCCTGGATTAATTTGCCGAGGAGAGCTCACTAAATTCCGACAGAAATGCACAGAACAGGTGAGACACAGAAAACGACTCAGAAACATATGAGCGTTTGTGCAGAGCGGCACTTTCAAGTACCGTCAAGGTATAAAGGTTTAACCAGCACGCGCGACAGTCGTCCCGTCGTGAGTGATCGACTTCTTCTCTCTCGCGAAACATAAACATCAGCGTGTATTTTTCTCGAGAAGGAGAAGAGTCTTTTGACCAAACTGACGGATGTCCGTTCTCCCAATCGAGCAATCGAGCTCGGATAATCGAAGAATATCGAGGAGACACGCGCGGGAAGACATAAGCGCTGTTCACTACGTGACGAACTTGAGCGACAACGACTTCCTCTTCGATATTTACGAGAAACTCGGCTATTTAATTTCTCTTCCACGTTCCACGAGGCGAGAATTGACATTCGACGCTCGGCGGAGGCGGAGGCGGAGGCGAAGGGACGAGGGAGGGACTACGCTTTTAGAGGATCTATCGGAAGCTATCAGCGGACGGTGTTAAAAACACACTGAGATACTCGACGATAGTATATATGCGCCGCGCTCTCGCTACTTCTCCCTCCCTCCCGCCCGCCCGCCCGGCCTCCACCTCCCTCTCTCTCTCTCTCTTTCTCTCTCTCTCTCTCTCTCTCTCTCTCTCTCTCTCTCTCTCACACACAGCCTGTGTGTGTCTCGTGTGCACTATCGATTCACCTCGCGGCCTTGTGCTTAATTGAATTAGTATCGGGCTAAAAAAGGATGACCTTGAGTCAATTAACGGCGGGATGGAATAAGACGGAGTGGCGCTCGTCACTCGCAGGAGCGGCAAAAAGAGAAAGTTCCTCTTTAAGCCGCGATTAATCCCCGCGGTTATGATCCTCTCAACGGCCATATTTCGCGGAGCATGCTCACTGTGTGAAGTAGCGGCCATTAATTTTTGCCGACGTTTACGAAAAATCGACGGGTTTTGTCCGGCGGCACGGACGTCGGAATCTGCCGATTCGCCGATTCCTTCGCCCTCGCACCCGTTTCTTTCTTTCTTTCTTTCTTTCTTTCTTTCTTTCTTTCCTTTCCGTCCTAACTTTTCTGTTTTTTTTTTGTTCGTCGAGCAAGTGTCGCGTCTACTCTCAGTCGGAGATATCGATTCGCGCGAGAAACGAACGCGTTTGATGTTACGTCGAGGTGAGATTCTCCGGAGCAAATCTCAACAGAGCGAGCAATTTCCCTCCCGGAGACTCGTAATACAAGAAAGAAAGAAAGAAAGAAAGAAAGAAAGAAAGAAACACAGCAGCGCCGCAAATACGACACGCATGCAAAGCTCGGTGTCGTTCGTCGCGCGGTTGCCCCGAGATTCCCGGCGAAGCGGATTCGTAGGCTTCCACCGAAAGAGAAGGCGAAACTGTCGCCGGGCGACCTCCAGCGAGCACGAGGGCTGAGAATTTAGCCGAGGCCTCAATCTCGGCGTGCGAATCGCACGGCCAAGTATTTTCGCGGAAAGTCGCCCGTCGCCGGATCGCCGAGAGTCTCTCGAACTTCGCTAGCGAGGGAGCGCGCGAGAGCGGGGCATTCCGGGGAATTCCGCTCGTCGGCGGCGCGCGCGTGCTCGCTCGCTCGCTCGCTCGCGCAGGCGGAAGGAGCATCGAAGGCGAAGCGGATCGAAGAAGCGGAGGATCGGGAGCGAGTTCTCTCGCTCGAGGAGCAGCGAGAGGCGCTGAGAGGGAGAGATGCGTACCAGCCTGCGGCCGCGCTGGCGAACCGTCGGGCACGACGATCTTCGTCTGCGACTTCGGCGTGCCCTCGCTCATGATGATGCTTTCGACGCGTCTTCGATTTTCCGCCGGACTCTCCGGGGCTACCACCGGGGCTGGCGAACGCGAGGAAACCCCCTCTTCCAGCTGCCAGCCGAAGCTCAGCGCGACGTCGTCCACGCTTCCCCGATAGCCGCTCGGCGGTTCGGCGCTCTCCTCCTGCTGCCGCTCCGACGGGAATAGTCCCCCCCCGCCTCCCCCGGCGGCCTCCTGCCGTTCGTTCGTTCGTTCGTTCGTTCGATCGATCGATCGTCCGGACCGATCGCTCGCGCACGGCTTTCCGATGTACGATCTCCGCTCACGGCTGCGTGCGTCCCTCGCTGCGGCTCGCTGATCTCCTCGTGATCAGGCTCGACGCTCCTGTCGCGTGTCCTCCTGGACGTCGTCCACCGCGAGACCGGGCACTCTCGACGGGGAGGGGACGCGCGGAGACTCGACGGAGTGTCCTCGGTCCGCGAGGAACGATCGAACCGACCGCCGGCTGCAACGATCGGCAGATCGTCGTGACATTCGTCGACGATCCCGGAGGATCGACGGGAGTGGTGAATCAGCGAGGTCGGGCTTTGATCAGCTGTTTCCGATCGGTCCTCGGCGATCACGGAACGGCACACGCGCTCGATCGTCCTTACCGGTCGCGTCGGGACGTCGCGAGCGGGCGAGTGAGCGACGGCGCGAGATCGATCGCGATGGCTCTCGAGCGAGCCCGGCGCCGGAACTCGCGAGATCGCGGAAGCGGAGTTCCCTCCCGGCCAGAGAGAGAGAGAGACAGAGAGGGAGACAGAGAGAGAGCGAGCGTTCCTCTCGCACTCTTCGCGACTTACTCCTCCGCCTCGATCCCTCCTCGCCGACCCTCTTCGCGAGCTGGGAGGAGTCGACATGCGCCGCGACACGGTGGCGATCGGCTTACGTACGGCCGAGGCGGGCGCTCTCTCAGTCTCTCGGCGGATGCATCTCTCCCTTCCCTTCTCGTTGTCTCTCTCTCTCTCTTTTTCTCTCGCTCGCTCGCTCGCTCGCTCGCTCTTTCTCTGTCTCTCTCGCAGGCGGTGTCACAAGGTCACGAGATCACTGGGTTCGGCTGCTGGATTCACGCGCGCTGCCGTACGGTACGTACGTCGTCGTACGTACGTGCGGTATGTTCGATCGATCGGTTGCTCGCTCGGTCGCTCGGAGGGAGAAACGCACGCACGGTCGATCGCGATCCCCTCGCTGCATACAGCGCGGACACACGCGTACGCCTAGGCAGCGCGATCTCGCGCGATACCGTCCCACCTGATTTTGCGCTTGAGAGATTCGTTCGATACTCGGAAGCGCGTGCCGTCGCCTCGTCGAGCGCTTCCCTCCGCGAGAAGAGGGTCCAGGTACGTGTCCAGAGATCGAGAGAGAGAGAGAGAGAGACACAGAGAGAAAGGGGCAAGTAGGGAGGGAGATCTCGGGATCTGTGAGACACGCGCGCACGACTGACAAAATTGTTGCTGCTGCTGCTGCTGCTGTTGCTGCTGCTGTTGCTGTTGCTGTTGCTGCTGCCGATGCCGTTGCTATCACGAGCGAGACGGCATCAGAGACCAGGCGATGAGGCGAAGGGACTGGTCAGGGGAGAGCGACGAGCGGTGCGCGCAGCGCGCCTTCGTCGTCTGGCTAGAACGCGGCGGGACGTATCTACTGCGCCGCGGCTGACTAGAGCGCGGACCGTCGCTACTGGGCGCGCAGAGCAGTGGTACGAGCCGTGTGTCGAACAGACTGGCTCCTCCAGCGCGCTGCGGAGTCACGGGTCACCACCCTTGCGCGTCTCTTCCTGGACCAGCTCTCTCCCTCTCCGTCTATCTGTCTTTCTCCGCCTGCCTGCCTGCCTGCCTCTCTCTCTCTCTCTCTCTCTCTCTCTCTCTCTCTCCTTCTCTCTCCCTCCCTCGCTTGCAACCTCCTTCCGCCCTTCTCCTCTCTCCCCCTCTCTCTCTCTCTCTCTCTCTCTCTCTCTCTCTATTACCCTTTCGTGCTCACACACCCTCCTTCCTCTCTCCCCGTCCTTCTCTCGCTCTCTACCTCTCGTCTCTCAACGACGTGCCGAGCGTGCAACGATCGTGTCCGACACTGGACTCTCGCGCGCGCGACAGCGAGCTTTCCCTCGCGGAAAACGTCGACTGCCACTGCGAGGGGGTCGCTCGGTCGGTCGCGCACAGTGATGGCGAAGCGCTCTCTCCCCGGCTTTTCCAGGGGCTCTCTCTCTCTCTCTCTCTCTCTCTTTCCCTCCTCTCTTTTTCCCCTCCGCCTCTCTTTGCACCCCGCGCTACGTCGCGCGCGCACGCTTCTACACCCTCTCCTCTCGGCGACCCCACCCCGTCGTGAACACCACGCCGTTCTCTCTTACTCTCTCTCTCCCCCTCCCTCCCTCCCTCCCTCTCTCGTCTCGTCTCGCTTCGTCCCGCCGCGCGTGTTTCCCTCCCGGTTTCCCTCTCGCTTGCTCTCCAGCGAGGACCGCGCGCGAGGCGTCCCGGGCGTAGTGAGCAGCTCTCTCACCCGCTTTTCCTCGTCCTCGCACGGCGCCTGCGCGCCCCGGGGATGTCCCCTTCCGCTCCCTCCCGGGCCGCCGATAGCCTCCTGCCTGCATCCTCCGTTCCGCGGGTGCCCTCCCGGTCTCTTTCGTGGTCCACGCCAACCATCCCTCCCTCTCACGCTCTCACCCCTTCCGTCCGTCTCTCTCCGTCTCCTCGTCGCGGCCGCCCCCGCCCGCCCGCTCTCGCTTCGCTCCTCGCCAGCCCGATTCTCTCCTCTCTCATCCAGCTCGGCAAAGACCCTCTCTCGCCGCCACCGCCGTCGCCGCCGTCGCCGGCGCTTTTTCCTCTTCTTCCCTCTCTGTTGGGCGACCGCCGCCGCATTTATCCACGCCGTCCTCTTTCATCCACCCACGCGAGCGGGCGCGCGCGTTATCTTATTCGAGAGCACACGTTCGCACTGCGCGTTGGCGCTCTCGTCTCTCTCTCTCTCTCTCTCTCTCTCTCTCTCTCTCTCTCTGTGTGTGTGTGTGTGTGACGAGTCCTCCGCCGCGCGACGCGCTTTCGGCCGCTCGCCGATCGGATTTGAATGCGTGCGGCCGCGCGCGAAAACGGGTCACGGTTGTGTCTCTCTCGCGAGGGAGAAGCGACGGCTGCTCTCGCGCAAGCAGAGATCGCAGACTCGCGACGAGAGGGCAGATTGTGAATTCAGGCCGCGCGCGATCCGCCGCCTAACGAATTCATCTTTGTCTCTCCTCTCGTGAGGCCGCGAGGGACGAGAGAGCGCACCAAGCGGACGAATCGCCGGCGTCGACATAGCTATGCACGCTCGTCGCGATTACGCGTTAAATCGCGATAAATCGCCGTTGTGCCTCGCGAATAAATCGACGCTCGACGGCGCGATTTTATTCGCCGAACGAGAGGCATGTCTCTTCGCGCCGGTAAACGCCCGCCACACAGAGATGGTGGTAAATAAAGAGAGGAGGGAGAGAGGGGGGAGAGAGAGAGAGAGAGAGAGGAACACCCCGGTGATGCGTTATTTTGCTGGCAACGGCGGCTATTTACGTTCACACCTACAGGGCGAACACACAAACCGAGGCTTAAAGCCCCGACCTTAAACCGAAACGCCGGCTTTAAGCGGGGCTTCGCGACATAAAAAAGGAGAAAAAGGGGGGAGGGATGTGCACAGAAGCCCGAGCGGTACCTGATGATAGCTGTTCGCAAAGTTACATCACGAGATGCTGTAACGCGAAGATCTGTATAACGGCGAACGGCGGGCTGTCATTCGGCGCGACGGTATACCGTGAAGATTACGTGCGCGAGTCATCCCGGTTGCTATATTTCCGTAATACGTCGGAGCTTTCAGCGTAACCGAGATGTCACAGCGTGAGAAAGATACACCGTGTGTGTGTGTGTGTGTGTGTGTGTGTGCGCACGCCGCGGTATCTCGTTACTTTTTCGCGATAAATACATATGGAAAAGCGAGAGGTATCATCGCACGCGCTGAGTTATTCGCAAAAATATATTTATGTGTGTGTGTGTGATCATTCTCACTTGTATTAGTACCGTAAGCGAGAGAGAAAAAGAGAGAGGGAGGGAGAGAGGGAGAGCAACTGCAGTCGCAGCTGCAGCAGTAACGTTGAAGCGACGTTTATCTACTTCGCGCGAGATCATCCGGAAAAAGGAGAAAGAGAGATTCAAGGATTGTAAATTTTTTTCCCCGTCTGTGTCGTTATGTGCGCGCGCGCGTGTGGTAGTTGTGTCGAGCGATTAAAGTGGCTACAGAACGTTCAACGTCTCCTCAATTATTTTCTAGCGGTTTTCCAACACGAAATAATTCCTTTCTTAAAATAGCTGTTCACTTTCCGCGCCGATAAAACAATTTTCACGCGTATCTATGCAAGATCGTTTCTTTATCGGCAGATGAAGCGCATAAAAATTAAGCGACACAAACGCTCTCGCGACTATTGCTCCCGGCCAGCGAGCAACTTTACGCGACAAACAGCCGCCGAAAAGGTTGCCGCGAAAGGGTTGACCTTATTTAACCGGATCAACCTCGCCGGATCCATCTCGGTACGCGGCCATCCGTGTCGGCCGGTGCGATTACGCGTGAGCTCGAGGGAGTGTCGATCGATCGCGCGTCGCGGGTGTGAAGATAGAAAAACCTCGGACGGGGGGGGGGGGATCGCACGCATGACTAGCGTTAAATTCATCCCGATGTCGCGCGGCGCGTCCGAGCGCAATCTGGCCGACAGATTACGGCTGACCGTAATCTGTCGATCCCCCCTAAACCCTCTCCCCCTGCCTGCACTGTATCGTTTCCACGTTTACGGAATTACATCGAGAGATGCCCTCTGAATATCCTCCGGGAGAAAGAGAGCCGCCGTCGTCGTCTTCTTCCCTCTCGAAACAGCTCGGCCTGCCCGCCCTGCCGCGAAATTCCCCCCACCCCCCCGCCAGCGAGCGGAGGAGCTTTATTTGCCGGAATAAAACCCGGCCCCGCTAAGTTCCCTCCCTCCCGGCTTCCCGCGAGCTTCGATTGTGAACACTCCCCCGCGGAGCTTCTGACGCGAAATCTGACGGGGTGCCTGGCTTCCCTGTGCTTTAGTTTCGCGACGCGCCGCCCGACGGATATGTCTTGTTTATCCCGCGATTATACGGCGCGCGCTGAATAAATCAAACACGCTGCGCGCGCGTCGTATCGACGCGCTCGCGGATCGCGATGTTCAATGTGTATCGCGCTTCAAAGGCTCGGTCTCGCCCTTCCGCACCCCTCCGACGCGGACGGATAATGAATATCATCACAATTTCCTCCGCCGCCGCCGCCGCCGCCGACGCCGACGCCGACGCTGCCTGTCGTCAAACGACGCGGAGGGACCGTGTTTTACTACAGAGGAAGAGCCGAATGAAGCTTCGACGACGGAAGAACGAAGGAGAGAGGGAGAGGGAGAGTGCTATCACTTTAATCGTGATTTCGATTCGGGGCGAAGGGATAATACGCGTCCCGCGTTTTCAGACACGAGTACAGCACGCGCGCGCGGCTATAATCCATGAGCACGTAAGGCTTAAAATTCGCTAAAATGAACATTCGCCTCGGGGAAAGCTGGCCGACGGGATAATGCGCGAGGCGGTTTTATTGTAACGCGGACTTTTGCTATCCTATTTGGCGCAGCGCACGAGTTAACTGCCTGCATAATTCCGCTGTCTTATGACGTCTTTTCCAGCGGCGTTACACAGCGACGATGAATTTTAAAGACGGCCCGTTCTCTCGTCCTGCTCCTCCTCCTTCTCGTCTCTTTGGTCAGCCTCGAAAGCCAGCGCGCGAGTCTCGCGAGAATACGCGAGCGCTTCTGTTCGACGCAAGAGTGCGGGGAATAATCGGAGTCGACGGGAAATTCGACTCGCATCGGAAACCGTTCTCCGGCCGTCGGCGAATCGATCTAACGTTTTCCCCTTTCTTTCTCATCTCCATTTTCCGTCCGTCCCCCGGCAGCTGATAACGAGCGCGCTTCGGTTACTCGCCGCTTAAGACGCCGAATGTCGTCGAAGGAGATTACTCGCCATCGCCGTCGGGAAGCTGCTTAACCCTTTAACGCCCGACTTTTTCACAAGTGTTTTAAGAATAAAATTTGAGTTTTTTTCAACTGAGACTATAAGTAGTGATAACCAAAAAAAATATCAGAATATCAGAATTTTATATCGGTTCTTTTATCGTTCGTTTCTTGTTTATTGGTAAATATGACTTGGAACGTAAAAACATATACGAAATGAGCAACCTACACTGAGAGAGAAAAGTATATGATATTTGGAACTATAATGATATAGTAACTAAATTATATAATAGTCCGAAATATCATATTTGTAATAAGTATTACAAATAATATCGGTAATAATTACGATATAGACATAGTATAACCAACTATATAATATTTTTACTAAAAATTATAGTAAGTTAAACTAAAATTATTGTATGGATACAAATATAAAATGGTAGATAAAAGTAACTCTTTTATGTAGTAAATATTTGCCAATATTACCAGAATATTTGCTAAATGATGACAGATGTAACTATATGAATATTAAATCTCACTATATTTGTGAATGAGAAATTACCATATATGTGGTAAAAGTAACTGAACAATTATTTAAGACAATCACTATATATTTGTGTTTATTCTACTATATTTTGTAGGTTCCACGAACTATAAAAATATGATTGACGCCAAAATGAATTATAAAACATAGTGAGATATACATTAATTCAACTATATTTTTCTATCAGTGTATACAGAGAAAAATGAGGGGTAATCTATACGACATAACTCTGACAGCTTGACATTTTTGAGCTGTAACTTTA